ATCCATGGTCATATTTTGGCTCTGCTAAACTTGTTTTCATTTTCTTCAACTTCTACGAGCAATTAATGGTCTGTTCCACAATCAGACCTTGGCCTAGTTTTAGGGGCCCATATTGAACTTCTCCATGGTCTCTTCCCACAGATGTGGTCAATTAACTTTTGTATATTCCATACGGAGAAGTTCACATGTTTTGTGTTGTTAAAAAGATATATTTGTGATGAAAAAGTCATTGGTCTTTCAAAATTCTATCATGTGCACTCCAGCTTCATTTCTATGACCAAGACCATATTTTCAACTACTTTTCCTTCCTCTTTGTTTCTAGTTTTTGCATTTTTATTGCTAATAATTATCAATGCATATTGGTAGCATGTTTGATCAATTTCAAACTGATGATGTGGATACATTTCTTCAATTTTTCAATAACTTGTTTTTGGGTTGGTACATAATTTGGAATAATAGTTGTAATGATTTAATTATTTGAATATGGATAGACCTTATCTTATCACAGACAGCATTGTCTGTGATATTCAAGATAGCTCTTGAAATGTCTTTTTTGATCATGAATGAAAAGTCATTCCTCCTGATTGTGTCATTCCTAGCATAGTAAACCATATGATTTTCTGACTCAAAATGGTCTATAGGAGTCAATTTCAGCTCACTAATGCCTAGAGTATCTATCTTTATGCATTTCATTTCTAAAGACTTCCTAGCTTCCTACATTCATCCTTCATACACAGAATTAATCAAGTATTAATTGATATTAGCAGCTATTTCTTCTCATTTTGGGTCCTATCCCATCAGCAAATGAAGGTGCTGAAGGATTAACTCTAAGAGCCTTTACTCCACCCAGGTCTTTATAATTGAGTTTACTTTGCGAAGGCAATTCTTCCTCATTCATATTTTGAATGCCTTCCACTCTGAGGTGCTCATCTTCTGGCACTATTGCTGACAATATTCTGCTTCAAATCAGGGGATTTTCAGTAACGGACAATGTTACAATGCTGTCCATAGAGTTTTCATTGACGAATTCATCTGAAGTGGACAGCCTATTTCTCCTTTACAGTTTTTTCTTAGTCTGGAAGCTCTGCTGAAACCTGTTCACTTTAGGTAAGCCTGTTGGTATTTGAAATACCAGTGACAAAGCGTCAAGCGTCACAGCAACACCCAAGACTGAATGTATGACAAACTGACAGAGAAGTGGTGGCCCTAGCATAGTAATTTCTACACAAGTACTTAACCACCTAACAAGGATTTATGGAATTCCCCCCTCCACTAAACATTGTTTTAGGCAAAGAATGTAGCAATAAAAAAAAGTGTTCCTGATCATAAAATGCTTATGGTTTAGTGATGAAAAAAGACTCATAGCTAAGCAACAAAAGCATAATGAGAAAAAAGTTATAAATAATAAAATTTTACCCAAAGAATTTTAGGGACATATAAGTAAGAACAACTCATTTCCTGAGGGGGAGTGAGGCTAATTATGCCACTGAGGGCAGTGTAAGGTAGAATTTGTCGCTAGTCAACAGTGTGAGAAAAATAAGTATGTGGGGATTTAAAATATTTTTGATATTCAGTGAAGTTAAATTAAAAACTTAGTGTTATTGAAAGCATTTCCATATCTCCAAGCCTCATGCTTATGTAACTAGTGACAGTCACACACATTTCGAAGATGTACAAGTTAACAATTCATGTATTGGAGTCTAAAAAATGTTCTACACATGTATAAATTCTTCTGCTCAACAGTCTTTTACCATCGACTAAATTAATCTTACTACCAATAGAATTATCCTAATTATTCACAGGGATGGCTTGTGATGTACTACAATAAAATAATAATGATGTCTCTAAAAGTGAACATACAGGACATATAGGAACCATACTTGTATGAATGGATTTTGAGCTCTCACTTGATTGTAGTCCTAATATAAGAATAATTAATTCTTGTGACATGGCCCTGCGAAATATTCACCCTCATGAGGAGATCACTGAAATTTGAGTGTCATAGCACATTGTGGTGAAGAAGTCAGATGTCACCCAGCTACCAGAAAAAATGGAGTCTGGGGGTGGGTCTTAGAAACATTTAAATAAGGAGTCGGCTAAGTCCTCACAGAAAAAGCACACCAACTTGTGATACAAGGATTGTGAATAATAAAATCCAAACCCAGAGAGGGAAATAGTGCAGATGCCTAAATTCTAAATACTTGGTTTGCAGAACACTATGCATATTAATAGAAGCCCAATATCCATTTTCATGATTCCTATGTGGATTGAGTTCATGGTAAATCCTTACTATCCATAGACGAAACATGAACAGCCCTGATATCTGACAAAGAACCTTGTAAAGTAAGTAGCAGTACTTCAGCTTGAATGTAAACTCTTGTCATTAGATCTCCCTTTGGATGCATTTTGGATTTATTCTAAAAATTTAGTATTCTTGGCTTTCTCTTCAGACTGAGGTCCTTCTCTGTTTTATATGGTTACTATTGCTGGGTCTTTTGTGGCTTTTGTCCTTGTTTTGCATGTTTTCCTGTGCAAGGAATCCGGGATGGGTGGATGTATGAAGGCAGTAGCTGCACGGAGTGCCGGGGGAGGGGGGACACAGAAAAGGAGAGTGGGGGAATGGGGAGTCAATACCAAGGGAGAAAAGTTTCCAAAGTCGATTGTGTTGATGATTGCACAACCCTTCTGGATATGATTAAACTATTGAATTGGATGATACATTGATTATATCTCAATTAAGCTGCTTTTTAAATTAAAAAGTAAATATTAAAAAGTTGTATTCATTAAAAGTGGTCTGGTGAATGCAGAGCAAGGACCTGAGCCTAGGTCTTCTGATTTTAGGGCTTCTGCCCTTCCCACTATATAGTGCAGCATCTAATTAAAATTTTAGAAGAAAAAGTATATTAAAAATACAATAAAACCTTTGTAAGCAACAGGGCGGGGAAAGGAGATATTTCTTTTTCAAAGTTCATGTCTCATCTCTCCTGCCACCTCTTTTCTGGCCCAACTCTGACATAGAACTTCTGGTTGCACAAGTGACCTCTGGCCTGTCCACAGGAGTGGGAATTTAAACTGAGGAGGAATACTGGAGAAACCCTTCTCGTTGATCCTGAGCTGATCAAAGAATGACTGTGTGGGGAAACAGGAAGCAGGCAGAATGGGATGGGGAGGCAACCAATGCCACCGAAAAGAAAGATGTAACAGCCACTTTGATCATGACCAACTTTTCCATGATCACTCCACTTTCCTGCTTACAACTATCTTTCGGTCTGATTCCTTTCTTTTCCATGCTACCCCCCCCACCCCCCCAAAAAAAAATTGTTTAAGGAGAGAGCAGTTGCCAGTCCCAAGGAATTGAGAAGGGTGGAATTAAGTATTTGCAGTATAGATAGTATTGTAGTATTGATGGTCATGGACTGCCACTTCTTTCTCCCACAGAGCCTCTTGTGGAATTGAACCACTGACCTTTCGGTTAAACAGATGAATGCTCAACCCCTGAGCCATCAGGGCTCCTTCTAATAGAGTTACAAATTTATATTTCTATTCCTGATGGGTGTACTATTTGTTCGGCTTTATTTTTTTCTTTATACTATTATCCAGGAAGTGCCATGGTGTGTTAGGCAGGGTTCTCTAGAGAAATGAAACCAGGAAACTTATGATTTTATTTATATATGAGGATATGTTTATTCAGGGAAAAGGAATATAACAACTAATTAGTCCACACAGCAGTACAGAGAGTTCCATTCAACTTACTTCTGTGGAGCAGTTAATATACTGAATGTCCTTCAACTAATGTGGGCTGCTAGGTCCAAGGTAAAGGAAGCAGACGGCAGAGTCCTCCCTTGGGCAAGGCAAGCAGAGTCTGCCTATAGGCAGCCAAGAGCAGGGTGGGTCACCAACAGTCAGTAGCTTGGGAGCTTAGTGAAGCAGGCCCAGATGGGATAGCAATGCAAGGCAACAGGATCCACTAGCCTCAAGCTCAAGTGATGTATGCACAGCAGCATGGTGAAGCAGGTCTCAAGAAGCCTCAAGCTTTGGCGACATGATCCACGGGTTGGCTTGGCTCACAGGTAGTGTAACTCATAGGTTGAGGCAGAGAACTAGCTAAAGCAGCAGCACACTCCAGGACACTCCAATCAACAGAGAGCAAGAGAAAAGGGGTGGTGGTGGCTTGCAGAGCCATTTGTCTCTTTACCCTCCAATCAAACTGAAACCTGATTAATCCTACATGTTCTTATTGGCCAGGTTTGTACAATAAACCTAACTATAACACATGGTGTTGTGAAAATGAAGAATAATTGTATGCATCTCACAGAAAACAGGACACAACTCTCTTTGAACAACTTGTTTTTCTTCACAGTGAATAGAGAAGAGTTCCCCTGGAGAGAACTCATCCTCTACCAGAACTGGAGAAGCACACACTCAAATCCGAGAGGATAGAGTTGTGCACAACCCACGCCATGACCAGCTCTTTGAAGACCATATTGCCTGAAAACACAGACTTTATTATGGACCAAGTAATAAAGACTGAAATCTCAAGGGTTAAGCCAGTGTTTTTCAACTTCTTAATCTGATTTGCTGTTTCCCCACTAATACACAAATCGCATCTTTCCCTCAGGATGGTGATAGTTTTCTTCCAAGGGCATCCCTCACTATTAATTATTCTGACTGGGAAGATACCCTCCCCAATTTTTATTTTCTATGTATGTATTTTAATTTTCTATATATTATATTATGAAAGTAATAAGGACATAAAAATCAAACATGAAATAATCACATTTAATATACTTTCAAATAGTCCCTTGCCCTACTTCAGAGATTTGGATATGCTTTCTTTAAAATCAAGCCCACCCTCCTCAATTTGAAAATCCCTGGACAAAACTTTGAAAGATATGGAAACAAAGTACACATTGCACAGGACCAACTTGTGAGGTTGCTTAATTCAATATGGAAACATATTGTTCAGGGGTAAAAATCCATTTATCAAACGGGTCAGTATATTAAGAAATATTTCTGCCCACAGCTCTGCGTAGAGCATCCTTGACGTCCTTGTTTCTCAGGCTGTAAACAACAGGGTTCAGCAGGGGAGTGATGATTGTGTATGTGACAGAGAGAAGGAGGTCTTGTTCTACAGAGTTTTCTGATTTGGGCTTGAGGTAGGCAATGGAGGCGCAGCCATAGTGGACAATGACCACAGTGAGGTGGGAGGCACAAGTGGCAAAGGCCTTCTTTTGGCCCTCAGCAGAGGCAATCTTGAGGATTGTTGAGATGATAAGCACATAGGAGATGAAGACCAGGCCCATGGGGACAAGGATCACCAATAAACTGACAACAAAATTGATTATCTCATTGATTGTAGTGTCAATACAAGAGAGTTTCATGACAGGGAGGATGTCACAGAAGAAATGTCCAACCACCCTGTGACAAAATGGTAAGGTAAATATGGATGCCACCTGAACAGCTGCCATGATCAGGCCAATACCCAAAGCTCCACACATCAACTGGACACACATCCTCTTGCTCATAATGACTGCATATCTCAGTGGGTTGCAGATGGCCACATAGCGGTCATAGCTCATAACTGTGAGCAGGAAGCAGTTGTTGATGGCCAAGGTGACAAAGAAAAACATTTGAGTGGTACAGCCTGCCAGGGAGATTGGGTGGTTCTGGGATATGAGACTGGAGAGCATCCGTGGAATGATGACTAGTGTGTACACAGTCTCAGAACTGGCCAGCATGCTCAGAAAGAAGTACATGGGAGTGTGGAGGTGACGGTCAATGCGGATGATTGTCACAATGATGGCATTACCAGCCAATGTTAATGTGTACAGAATGAGAAAAATCACAAAGAGGGTGATCTGATGGTCATGAAAGCTGGAGAATCCCAGGAAAACAAATTCTGTCACCTTGGAGATGTTATTTCTCTGCATTCCTTAATTTCTGTGTCTGAAAGCAACATAGGGTGTTCAACATGAGTATATTCCCACTGTAACATGGACTCCATAGCAAATATTGAGACATGTGTATAGAGAACACCAAAATAAAAGAGTGGAAAACATTTTTAATACGTAACAGGAAGGTACCAGATATAGTTATCTTTGTGGGTTTTGCTTCACCCTCACTCTTCCTTTAAACCTTTGGTCAATGTGTGAGACCATCGTACATATCTTTTCAAAGTATCACCACAAAAGCACTGTTTTTGCAGTGAAGGGATTAAAAAACAATTTCTTTGAACACCCTGGAAGCCACAGGGGCTCTGACTCAAGCACCCCAGCTTTGTCACTGTTTCTGTCCTGGGGGAAGTGGAAGCAGCTTGCAAATTTGGGGTCAGGTGAAGGAAAGATCTCTGATCTTTTAACCGAGGCCCTGGGAAGCACTGCCTTCACCCCGAATCAGCCACAGATTTATTGTAAAGATACTTCATGTAAATATGAATTTACTGTCTTTGAATGAGCTGTAAAGACATCATCACAATGGCTGGTGACCCATTAGATAGAGGAAAGGGCCAGGTACACAGGCCTAAGAACAAAGGGAAAAAGAAACAACTTCATCGTCTCTGGGACATGTTTGTATAAGACTGAATGGACAATGAAAGGATTATCTGAAGAACAGATAGTCTCAAAACTGGGGATGGAAACCCCCAAAGGGAGCCATATCACTCCACATGGCAACATGGAACAGCTGCTTTAAGTCAATTCCCCCCATCCACAACTGCGATGTGTTTGTTCAGAGGAGAGGTTGTGTAGTGTGTGAGGGAAAGGTGAAGGAGAGCCAATAGGAGACAATCACTTCCTCTGTTTAAGGAATAGCCAAAATGAAACTATTTAGCCCAAAACACAGATGATCTACCTATCTATCATCAATCATCTCTCTCTCTCTCTCTCACACACACACACACACACACCTGCAGTCATTGAGATTTGCTCTTTGGAGAGCAAATCTTCAGTACATTTGAGTAAGCAATTATACTTCCTATAGAGGATTACCCATTCATTCTAATTTTCCCAAGTATTCTTCCCAATTATATCACTCTCCTGGACAGAAGTGCCTTTATGCATTTCTTCCTTCTTAAAACTTTCATTTAAAAATATTTTCAAGGATGCCTTAGTGTTCCTTATAGGTTGAAGGCAAATGTCTCATTGCTCCAACTTCCTAAATCTTTCTTTTTGAAGTGTAGAAGCCACCCAAAGTTGTTCATCTAAATGGATTTGTAGATCAATTATCAAACACAGGGCTATTGCTGTCCCTGAAAGTGAGGAGAGCCCAAGTGAAAGAGAGGAGAAAGTATGGGATGAGGATATGGTTAATTTTCATGGTTTACACAAAAGCCATCAGGTGGCATTAAACACCAATGTCTGTCTTTGGATGGGAGAGGAGGCCAGAAAAGATATCATGGAATCATAGAAGGGCATTGAGTGGGTGGGTGAATTCTATCTGCAGGGTTGGGTCAGCTGTTAGAACTGAAATTACGCACAATTTTAGTAGCAGATAATTACCTCCTTTCCTTTCATCTGGTTGCCGTTTTTTGAGCCTTTGCCCAGCCAGAAGTGACTGCAGCTGGACACAGTCGCAGCACCCTTCTAACACCCCAATCTGGGCTTTCTCTGTGTCTGGGCCCTAAGGGTGGTTCTGTGCAGGAAACACACCAATAGATAATCTCACAAGCACAGGATAGAACAGAAAGGAGCTTTCAAAATGATTTATACATTCCAGAAGGATAGAAGCCCTGTGGGAGAGAAAGAATACTGAAATGTGCTCATGCATCAAAATCGCAGTCATGAAGCCAATATTTCTACCAGAGGGAAAAGAAAAACAAAGTGGAGGCGGGGGACACACAATGTGAGGACGTGGAAGAACCACTGCTTACAAAGGGAAGAAACACTAAAATATCTATAAGCAAAATCTGTGTCTAGTAGCAGCATCTATGTTTTTAATAATCAAAGGAGGCTAGGTAAGCTAAGTCCCTCTGTAATGTATTTTTGCGTGCAAAGGAGTTGTGCAGTTAAAAATATATTATCTGCCATTTTGCCAGCTTTTCTGTTTCCTACTTTCCCCATTCTTTTTTTTTTACTTCCTTCCTTTTTCCTACCTTTCTTCCTTTAGTTTTTTTATAAACAAAGTTTATCTAAGGGGTCATGGATGGAGGAGTTGACTTCTTAATATTTTAATGATGACTATGTGAACATTAAAAGAAATAGGAAGAGAGAGGCTCAACTTTAGAAAAAGGTCTCATGAGGTCCCAAAGATTCCACTTACCCTTTAAATCTGTGTTTTCTTCCCTTTCTGGCTTTAGAACCGATTTGGCATGTTGTAGTTTATTCATTAACTTGGTGAATAACTTATTAACTGCAAAGATAAGATGTCGTATTATTATTGTAGGGTGAAACAAAAACCCAGCCTTGCCAGCTCAACCTGATCAGATCAGGTCGCGTGCATCTCCCTGGACTCTGGCCGACTCACAAGCTGACACATCCCACTGAGCCATTCTGGCCCTGGTGGGTTTGTTTTTAGAGCAGCTGCCCCTTTAAACTTTATCACTGGGAAGAGAAAACTCTCAGAGGAGAAGCTCTGTTTTCTACCTTTTGTCTCCTGGGTTAATAAGTCAAGAGACTTGTCAGAATCCCATGGGTCTTCATGGGAACAGAATCCAGAAATGAACCAGGAGGTCTCCTTACAAATGGAACAAGCTTTGCTCTTATGTGGCCTGGAACCTAACTTTTCTTCTAGGGCAAAAAATGACTCATCTCAAATGAAGGATGTGTTGAATGCCAGATGGGATAATGTCTGTTCCTTTGAACCTTGTTAATGTTTACCATTGTTTAGTTGTCAGTGAAAATACTCAGGTGTATAAATCAAAATGATGCCATGCTATGTATATAGAAAGAGTTCGTCTCATTTCTCCTATCATCGGGGAATGTGTATGGGGTTGGCTGATGCAAACAATTTGTACTTTACCATTGAACCTGGCGGTTATGGGATTATGTGTCAGGCCTCCTACTCTTGTCAGGAGTTCCAGTCTTGGAAACCCATGGGAGCAGTTCTACCACATCCCATAGGGTCACTGAGTCAGAATTGACTTGATGGCAGGGAGTGGAGTTTTTGGTTTTGTAACCTAAAGGTTGAGGGTTAGAACCCACCCAGTGGATGTAGAAGAAAGGATGGAAATTTGCTTAATAAAAGTTACAGTGAAAAAAAGAAACGAAATCTATGGAGTAGCTCTGCTCTTTAATACACGGGGTTGCCATAAGCTGCAATTGACTCAACAGCAAAAAGAGTTTTGTTTTGTTTTGATTTTGTCAGGTAAGCTTTCAGTTGGGGGACAGGGACTTAAAATGGAGCATGAATATTTCTTTTTTGATATGCAGGACTATATCAAGAAGTTAAGGCAGATGATTGAAAGCTTCAGGTAATCATTCTCTTCCTCATCCTTTGCATTAACAGAGCAAACCCTTGCTGATCCCTTATAATGTGCCCAAACATGTACAGAGTAGGTGCTTCGTATGTATTATCACATATAATCCTCACAAGAATCCCTTGAGTTGCAAGTGAGGGGAGGAGTTCCAAGCGAGGAGAGGAGCGACTGTAATAGCTATAGCTCTGGGTGAAGTTCTTTGCACTTGCCTTTGGTTTGTCCCTCTAGCTACAGCTGTTTGAGCTTATTGTAGGGCTCAGTGCAGCAGTGCAATAGGGACTATTTGGAGAGAGCTGTTGGTTTGCTGTGAAAGAGAAGAGGGCTGTGTTCCTCCTCTCCTGGTAGAATGAATTATAGTCTAATTCCTTCACCTCGTACCTAGTGAGGGACCTATCTGGAATCAAGAGGGCTTGAGAGGTGTTCATGGCTAGGCTATTTGTATACTCAGAAGGCTTGAGAAACCTGAAGCCATTGTGGAAATAGCCAAGTAGGATCTGTGTTCAAATCAGCCTGGGCTTTTTGAAATTTGGGGGACGAAGGATGAATAAGTGTTTATGTTGAACAAGGTGGGGACCACATAACAGCTAGAGTTGATGTATGGTAATCTTGGGCTATTTCCCCCAAAAAACACTTCTCATGGGGAAAATGGCTTCCAAGAATAAGAAACAAACATTAAACTAGCTCTTTTTTATTATTAACAAATCTTTTATTTGGGGCTCTTACATATAACAGTGCATACATCCATTATATTAAGAGCACATGTACAAATATTGCCACCAACGATTTCAAAACATTATCTTTCTTCTTGAGCCCCTTTTCAGTTCCTGCCCTTCACCTGCAATCATCTTATTGGTTATGGAAGAGGTTGTAAACTAACCACCAAGAATAACACACAGTGGCGTTAAGGAGTGTATAGGATATAAACTTGAGATAGAAGAAATACTAATGATATGAGGCAGAGTTAGCAAGTAATAGGTTATGGATGGTATTAAACAATGTTAAATTGTATCCTGTAGGATATAGGAAGGCAAAGAATCCTATTGGTGCACTAGTTAGGATCTTGGCTGTGAACCCAAAGGTCAGTGGTTGGAATTCACCAGCTTCTGGGCAGGAGAAAAATGTAGCAATCTGTTTCCATAAAGATTATAGCCTTGGAAACTCTATGAGGCAGTTCTACTTGGAATAGACTCAGTAAAAACAGGATCTGGGAACCCAAAGACTATTTTTAACAGGGATTAAAGGAACAAACGTCAAAACACAATATTACAGTGTATTACAACCCAGAATGCTGATTGTTAGAAATATTCTATATTTAGATGATACAGATTTATTAGAATATAAATTCCAACTAGGAAACGACTTTGTTTCATTCAGTATTGTATTTTCAGCACTTGATGTAGTACTTGGCATAGAGTAATTACTCAATAAATATTTGAATGAATGAATGATACTACTTGACAGTATATTTGTTTTGTCCCTGAAAACTTGTTTTAGGTTCCTTGATAGGATACTGTTAAA